CCCCCAAGGCATCCTGGGATGTGTTGGGAGTGCGCTTGCTGCATTCATGCATAGATGTCGTGGCTGCATTAACCCTGCATGGCTTTATCAGGAGTCGCCACGGCATTGCATGGTGAGTAATATTTTTTGGGGTACTGCCCCTTGAGCCTGGTGAAGCGCTCCAGAGAGTCTTCAAGCTTGCGCTCTCTGATACCGGTAGGGGAGGCGGTTCTTAAATAAGGGGTCTGCTCAACTTTCATCGGCAGGAGTTTCTCTGTGCCCTGATGCCGCCGCCTTTGCCCATGCTTGGGGGTGTATCGGATGCCCCTTTTGCATCGGCCACAAGTGCCGCAATGTTTGGTCTGTGTTCTGCGCTGGTCAACATTTGGAGAGTTCATTCCCCCTTCCCATGCGCACAAACCCGCACCCAGATCGCCCCTCCCGGTTCACAGCCATGCAGCTTCTCACTTGCCGTGTGGAACAGCTTCTGGGGTGGCTGGCTCAGGCAGCCCTGGAGGCTTAAGCAACGAAGCCAAAGGCAGGGCCGGACAAACGCCTTGAATTCCTGGTCCATTGCTGAACTCCCCGGGTCGCCACAGCAACAGTGCTTGGCTTTTCTCCCAGGGAGTGCCTGAATGGCCCTCTTAAAAGGGGGGGGGGAGGAGAAACGGAAAGGGGCCCAGAAAGGAATCCTTCTGGCAGAAGATGGACGGCCGAAAGGGATCTTATGCCTGACCAACACAGGCTGTGACATTGACCGGTGGTGGTTGGGCAGGCAGCAGTGCTCCCTCTAAGCTGTGGAGTCTTGTGTGCAAAAATTCTACTGGCGTTACAGTGGTGAGCGAGCCATTTGTCTGCTGCATCAATTAGTTTGCTCTGGAGCCCTCCTTCCCGAGCTAACATGAAAATGTGCGATCCGGAGGCTGAAAAACTGTGTGCTGCCTCACACTAACGCAACAGAGGGAACACTGGTGGGCAGGCTCTGCCTTATTGGGGAGGGGCATGCCAGCGCCCTCCACAGACTTCTCGGGCTCTGCCCTGAAATCCTGGCACGTAACCGTCCTTCCCCAATGAGCCCCGCGGCAGGCCACCCCCGAGAGTGACGAGAAGTCCTCAAGCGGCCCCGGGCCTCCGCTAGCAAGAGCTGTGACATGGCCCCGTGTCCCCATGTCGCTTGCTGCCCAGGTTCCTCCCCCGCAGAGAGCGAGAGGCACCTCTCGGGTGTGTCTTGACGGGCACAGGGCCGCCAGTTTGGTGTAGTGGTTAAGTGCGGGCGGACTCTAATCTGGGAGAACCGGGTTTGATCCCCCACTCCTCCACTTGCACCTGCTGGATGACCTCGGGCAAGCCATAGTTCTGTCAGAGCTGTTCCTGAAAAAAGAGCAGTTTCTGTCAGGGCTCTCTCAGCCCCGCCTGCCTCACAGGGTGTCTGTTGTGGGGAGGGGGAGGGAAAGGAGCTTGTAAGCCGCTCTGAGTCTCCTTTGGGTAGCGCAGGACTGGGTATAAATCCAGTCTCTTCTCCTCTCTGCCCGCACCCGGCTCGTGACGCAGGCCGCTTCCTCCAGTAATGGCTGCCTTTTCTCTTCCTCCCCCAGGTCTGAGCGGGGCGATGGCCAGCATCAGCGTCCGCTCGAGCACCCCGGGCTCGCCCACCCACGTGAGCAGCGGCTCCAACAGCAGCCGGCGGAGAAACGGACTCCATGACGTTGACTTGAACACTTTCATATCCGAAGAAATGGCCCTCCACTTGGACAATGGCGGCACTCGGAAGCGTACCTCAGCCCAGTGCGGAGACGGCATTACGGACTCTCCGACTCATAAACGCAACCGTATGATCTAAGTGGCAGAGCCTCCCCCCCCCAGCCCCCTCCTCCCCCTCCCGTGCCCGCACCCTCGCCGTGCTGCTTTGGAAGCCACTCTTATGCTCGGCCTCGCGCTGGGACAGAGAAACGGGCTCCCTCCTCCGGAGCCGCGCAGATGTTCAATAATTGCCATAAAAAAGGGAAAGCTGGCGTGCTGACAGTAGATCTCTGTCACCCCAGCTTTCCTCAGATTTAGATTTCTGTAGCAGAGGACTTCCGGTGTCGCGCAGCGGCTCGCGAGCTCGTCACAGAGGCAGAACATTGCATCCGTTCCAAGGCGAAAAGTGACCTTACTTGTACTCGTAAAGGGGGGAAAAAAGGAAATATCAGACTCTTATTTGGTTATAGAAATGCTTTTTTTTTTTTTGTCCTTTATTTCTTGCCGTGTTTAAATATTTGCTTCGACAGTATTGCCATCTTGACGACAAGTGTCAAAACAAGAAAATAACATGACGTGGCGTATAAGACCTGCGGGCTTCCTTTTTTTTTTTTTTTTGGAGTATATATATATTTTTTTTCCTTTTAAGGCTCTACCAGGCACAGAATTTCTATATAGTAAGTGTGCAAGTTTATGACAAGCATCGGCCTGTGCAGTTAATTTTTTAAGCGTCCAAAGCGGTCTTGGTGGCGCTGTGGTCAAATAGAGAGGCGGGACGGGGGGGGGAATCAGGGCGCCCCCCCCCCCAAATCGGAACGGAAAGGAACGTTGTTGGGTTTGCTTGGGCCGTGGGAGAGCTCGGAGACCACCTTAAATTGGGTTTTACCCGCCAATTTGCCTGTCTGTCCGGAGCGTTCCCTTTGTAAAACAAGCCGCGGGCCCAGTGTTCATTGGCTGCGAGCGAGCTGCGTCCTGTAGAGGACAGGTGGTTTTTTTGGTCTGCAGGTATGTATATTGTTTGGAGGAGTCTCTCATTGTACACTTCCCGTGAAGAAATTATCTGTGTGGAAAGAGGGGAGGGAAATCGGTGGGGTGGGAGGAGGCTGGTTTTTTAAAAATGAAAAGGATATTGGATGTGTTTGTCCACTATGACGGATGTGATTTTTGGGGCTGCTCAAGGAAACTTTGCCTGAACCGCTAAACCCCTCCGGCCCTCCGGCGCGGACTTTCCCCGCGAGGCTGGAGCGAGCCGCGTGTCCCCGGAAGTGCCGCGCGAGAAACGTCCCCGGGGGAGATCTCGTCAGGTGCCGGAGGGGGGTAAACTGCTTTGCCGTGGAAATCTCGGGTTTAAGGCGGCCTGGAGTGGAAGCCGAAGAGGTGGTGAAGGCCTCCCGACGAGGGCGCTCAGTGCTATGAACTCAAAAAAACACAAGATTTCCTGAATGTACCAGACGCTCTTAATGTCCAAATACTTGGTGCACCTATAGGCTGAATAAATCTTGACTTGCTACCCTCTGGTGGACAAGGTTTGTTTGAGGCCGGCTCGGACCCGGAGGAGACCCGGACGTGGAGGGCTTGCGTTTCTCTGCCTGTTGCGGAAGAACCCAGCTGCTGAAGAACGGCTCTAGACCTGAGATCTGTGTTCCGTTTCCCCTGCCGTTGCTGAGTCTCGGCCGGCGTCCTCTCTCTAGATGCTTGAGCTGGTCTTCAGCCTCTGCTGTGTGAGTCTTGGATTGGATGCCAGTTGACCGAGCCAGCTAAAGCGGGGTGGGCAGAGGCGGCGGAGGGCCGGCCGAGAAACCCGCGCGTGCACTTTTGGGCAGGCACAGATCTCCCTCGTCAGCAGCGGCTTCCCCTGTTCTCGGCGGACTGGGTCTGTCGCATTGAAAAGAGCTCTCCGTACGCCTTTAAAACTATCTGCAGAAGAAGAGGTAGGGAGTGAGAAAGAGGCCGGAGATGCCAAGTAGCAGGAAGCCCTCGGATTCTTGGCCGCGTAGCCTCACAACACCCCAGAATGTGGGGTCCTTCCCCCCACCACCACCATCAGTGGTGCCTGACTTGCAAGGCCAATGGCTTGGCCAACTTCTATGATCAGGAATGTGCACTTCAAGAGGCGTCTTGCTTTTTTAATTGTTTTTTTTTTTGCTCCGTAGAGCTGTTTAAGCATCTGTTTAAGTGGCTTCGGGAGTCCCGAAAACACCTTTGTGGTGCTGTAGCTGCAGGTTAACCGTTCACAAAACCACGTTGGCATTTTTTCTCTCTCCAAAGCCCAGTCTCAAAGTCCGGTCGGGCATGGCCTCAGGCGAACGCTAAGGATTGCCAACGTACCTACCAACTCGTGGCCTCAAGGGCCGCGGGGCCCCTCTGTGAGATTTTTGTTTCCTTTGCATACAGCCTAGAACTGTCGTCCGCCTTCTCAGATTTTTTTTGCACTTACCGGCTGGCGTGCCCGGCAGGGTCTCGAAATCATAGCGGCAAATAAGACACGTATCCCCCAGTCGACCTCTGGAGCTTAGCATAGGAGGACTCCTACCCCGGAAACGCAAGCCGCGGTCAGATGAGACGCCGTGCCTGGCACCAAATCGGCCTGGAACAGACAAACGGGCACACGACGATGACACGGTGTCTGCCGCTACCATCACCCCTTCCACCCACCCCCGCTCCGGAATCGAATTAGATCCTAGGTGTACAGGATTAGTAGGGAGTGTGTTTGTTTTATGCAACTCCACCAAGCGCTGGCCGGGATCCTGGCGGCGCTCCGAGGTTAACGGAACGGGCCCCGACCCGCGAAGCTGAACAGCGAGGCCTTGGGGGTTGTTTTGGTCCACGGCTGAATTAAACTCCAAAAGCGAGAACAACCGCACTTGAACGCGGAGTTTCCCTCCCCAAGTAGGAAATACTAAAAGTTCTTCACTAATGCTTCGAAGCTTTGCTTTTTGGCCTAGCTCGTTTGAACAAAAGTTCTCCGGTGTTTTCTTTTTTTCTCCCCCTCTCCCAGGTGCCATTTTTTCCCTTCTACTTAAGAGAAGAGCAGGCTTCGTTACTCTAGCTGCACTAACGGGATGTTTGTGTGCGTGTGCGTCATAAGTCTTGGGCACATTTTCTTTCTGGCGGCTTTTTTTTTTGGTCCACTCATGCAAAAAATGACTTTGACGGAGCAGGCAACTTTCTTTCGTGTTTTCAGGGTAGCAGATTTCTGTTGGTCCACCTTCCGGCTGTGACTTCGGGAAGGCCGCCGTTAAGGCATGAGGGTTGAGCTTTGGGGGGGGGGGGGGTAATGGGGGGGGGTG